AATGTATAATTGATATTGTGTAATAGGAAGAAAAGGTCTAAAGGAGCAGGGGAAGTGGGAGGGGTAGGGGAAAGGAAAGAAGGGAAAAGAAAAAAATATGACAAAAGGAAAAAAATGGAAACAAAGTCTTTGCAAATAGGGAAGGGTGGAGGGGGTGAAGGGAGAGCAGGGGAAGGGGAAAAAAAGAATAAGAACCAAGACAGTCATGTAATGGTACAAGATCCCAATGATGAATATAACTGTATTGTATACCTAAAATGTACCAATAAACTTAATGGGGGAATAAAAAGAGCACCACCAGGTTGCCAGCCCAGGCATGTGTGACACCAGACCCTTGTCCTTCACCCACCACTGATTTCTGCTTCTTGGTAAGTCCAATTTACTCTCTGTCATCACCTCTGTATTCCCTTTCCCCTGTTTCTCTCCAAGCTTCTTCATCTTTTCTTGGTTTTCTGTTGTCTTCATTTGACTTGGTTTTCTGTTGTCTTTATTTGGCTTGCATGTCACCTTCCCCAAGTCCCTCCCAGCATCATGGTCTTGGCAGAGGAAACTCATGTCTGTGCACAGAGGGAGAACACTTCTACTCAGATTGTGAAGCACAGGACAGTGACACACAGGGAGACACTCTGGACCTGGATCCTGGTGCAAAAGATGCCTAGAGCCACATCCCAGCCTCCAGTTTGCACAGATGTTGATGACGCAGAAAGAGACTATTGTAGGTTTATGGTCAAGGGGCTCCTGGAGCATCACTGTGCCAGTAGCAAGGATGGTGGCTCACAGTTATTAAGCACTGACTGACTTCCAGGCACTGGGCAATGTCTGCTCTCACTGAATTAACCACTGAGATAACGGTGAAATTGTTTGTACAGGTCCATTTGATAGAAAAGAAGCCTGTGTGATTGGTGAATAAAGATAACTGCAGAGCTAATTAGGGTCTTATAATGCAAGGGGGGGTTGGGGAAGAACCGTAAGTACAATCCTTGTTTCCACTAGGAACCAAAAAATGGGCAAATTCCAAAATGGGAATTAGAAGTTGCTTCTTCTTTTTTTTTTAGAAGTTGCTTCTTACTGAGTGAAGGTTCCATACAGTCTTAACTGAGGGTTTACGAGGAATGAGAATCTCACAAAATTCTTCTACTGAAATTTGTCCTTGGTCCTACAGGAGATAACAGGAAAAGAACACGGCATTGTGCTCATTTAAAATGGTAGTTATTGAACATCTCCACTGACTCTTCCCAATACTCTTTACTTTGAACTTGGGACACAGGGGACAGGAGACTTGGAAATAGCCTTTTAAAAAAATTCTTCACTTCCCTGTTTCTGGCAGCAGTCCCCACTCTGCCCTATGATATGCTGTAGTGTGAAAATCTCTAAGCTGGGAATTGAAATTTTGGGTAACAGTTCCAGTTTCCTGGACTGCCACTGTGTCCCAGGCAGATGAGAAGGTCTGGCGACCTCCATTTGTTCATTGTTAAAGTCAAGGAGTTGAACTTGATGGGAAATTTCTAGCATCTTGACATTCTTGGATTTACCTCTTGTAAAGATGAAGCTGTTGCCTTCTCTTCCTGGCCATACAGAATTCAAGTGTACATGAATTATCTTTGTACCACCCGGGGCTAATCCAGGGCCTGTCACAGTGGGAAGGACCAATGATTCTAGCCCTGACTTGGCCATTTACCAACTGAGGGCACATGTCAAGCCACATGGGATGAACTTACTACCTCTATCACAAAGCTATTGGGGATGACTATATATATATATCACTTACCGCACAGTAGGTACTTAGAAATCCTCTGTTGCCTGAATGACAGGGCTCATCTGGAGGTGGACTTAACTAAATTACTGGCTTAAAAAATGGAACACTTGGGCTGGGGATTTAGCTCAGTGGTGCCACTGCCTGCCTCACAAGTGCCAGGTCCTGAGTTCGATCCCTAGTACCAAAAAAAAGGAATACTTCCTGCTCTAAAGTAACTTGGACACATTTATCCCTATCAAAGATCAGTTCCCAGCAAAGGACATGCTTCATAGCACCAGTAAGCGCACCTGGAAATCAGGAGCTCTGTTATTTTCCCTAATGTTTTTGGAAATAGCTACAGAGTTAAATCTATTGATGCAAAAACACTGGCTTGTTCTGGAAACTAGAGCTGGCTTCCTTTACTCAGGAAGAGAATTTTCAGAGAAACTGTTTGTTTCTCCCCAATTTTTCCCATGCTGGAGAATCAGATAGGCTCTGTTTCTAGTGTTCCAGGGCCCTAGAATAGGAGGGTCCAAGATGAAAGGCACCTTGGAGGACACTAGTTCAACCCTCATCTGATAGGAAAGAAACTGAAGGTCTACATGTCTCAGGTAACACAGCCAGTTAATCCAGGATGAAGTGCAATTAAATGATGGAATTAACTTTCACTGTACAGTATTGCATTTTCTACTTCACACAGCACTTTCATACACCTGAGTTCACTTTATGACCCTTGAGATACATATCAGTATCTCCATTCAATAGACAAGGAAGTCCAAGTTCAAAATGTTAAAGGGATTTGCCTATCATCATGGGCCTCACCACCAAGGTTGACCCAGGACCTCTCTCTGGCTCTGGGAAGCATCAGAGTGGTACTAAAGGAAGGCAAGTATGCTTAGGTATCCTGGACCCAGATGCTTAACTAGTGAAGTATGCAAAGGAAGCCTGTGATGGCAGGATGACTACTAAGTGTGAGTAGAATGATCACTTACATGCCCTGAATCAGGGAAGACGGACTATATCCCTTTCAAAGGCCACTTATATGTCTAGATCTATACCAAGTACTGGAAGTATTAGGAAATGTGGCTCCTGCCTTAAGAAGCTGAAGGCTGTATGAAGAGAGAGTGGTAACTCCAATGAACCAATGAGAATGGCATCAGTCAGCTATTAAAAAGAACAGACTATGATGACACACTGCATAGATGACTCAAAAACATTATGCTGGGTGGGAGAAGCCAAACATAAGGGATTCTGGCCATATGATTCTATTTATATCAAACTATAGAAAAGACATCCAATCTATAAGGACAAAAGGCATATGAGTGGCTGCCTGAAGCACAGCATAATTTTAGAGGGATGGAAGTGTTCCATATGCAGTTTTAGTAATAAACATGTATATAAGCTTTTGCATAAATATGCCAATATTCACTGAAAGGTACATCTAAAATGTGTGTGCACATTATAAATAAATTATACTCTGGCAATTATTATAAAAACAGTGCTTGCTTTTATGGGACTTTTGATCTGGTAGAAAATGTAGATGTTAATATAGTTATTGTGTAAATAAATGAAAAATAATTATAACTGGGAAAAGGCCTGTGAGTGATATTAGATGGAGTAGAAGAGTGTGTAATAAAGACTTGGTCAATTCAGATGGACTGAGAAACCTTTCCCACAGAATTATTCATCTGAGCTTACAGAATAAGTAGGCATGAACCAGAGAAGATGGCTTGGGCTGAAGGAGCAGCATGTGCTACAGACCTGTGGTGGAAGAGAATCTAATGAAAGAAAAGGCAGTGGGCTAGAGCAGAAAAAGGTAAGGAGTGGTAGGAGATGAGTTTTAGGAGACAAATAAAGGTTTCCCATAGAGAGACAATTAGTTTTAGATAAGAGTTCACATTTTTCCCATGAGAGATGGGAAATCTATTGAAGGGGTTAAAGGAGTCTTAGGAGATGAGATAAAGAGCTTAGTTGGTGGGTTAACACTGTGGAATTAGTAGTCATCTCTCCTTTACTCTGACTTGAAGGTTCTTGAAATTAGAGGCAACTCCTACTAAATTGTGTAGCCCCCAAAGAAATTTCAGCAGTACTGAACATAAAATATTGGATGCCTAAGAACCAATCTAAATGAGTGAATGAAGAAACGGATGCATGAGTAGACTTTTCTCAAGATTCAATTATGTGCTGTTCCAAAGTCATCTGATAAATGATAAATCTGGACTAATTCTTCTCTCTAAACTGAAGCTCTGACAGAGAGGATAAGAGGCTTGACCTCCATATTGCCCAAGGTGGCTCAACTCCTGAGCATAGAAGAAACTCACTGCCAGGGAACAAATCAAATGCCACCTCTTCCCCTTGCCACTACTTTCAGGATAGGTCCTTCAGCTTGTCAGCCAACTTCTGGGGGTTGTCCCACTTGCATGGTAGCCTTATTGTACCAAGTCTTCTCTATAAATACCTATGATCCAACCAGTGCCATCTACCAAGCACACCAAAGGCCCATGGCATTCTCATGCTCCCTGCAGCCTCTTTCTGCAGGTGCCTGAAACCAATTCCTCTCTCAGGGCCACAGGAACATGCTTGTACTGTCCTTGAGGACTGAGCTCAAGTCCTGGCTCCCCTGGAAAGTCTTTTCTGCCTACCTGTCCCATTAGCCACTTCACTTCATACCAGTCTTGAGCACTGTACTTGTCCCTGATATGCTTATGTATTCTTCTTCCTTATTCAAGCACACAGCTCTCCTGTGCTCTTATCTGCACTGGCTTTTTTTATTAATTCTTAAAAATTTTATTAGATGTTTGCAGTACATAATAATTATATTCACCATGTGGAGCTGGTACATGGACATAAGACATTTTAATTCTTTTTACCACCCCCCTTCCGATCTCCAGGTTCCCTTCCCATTGTGAAAGCTCCATCTCCCTATTTCCTATTATCTTTTATTTTGTTCTTTATTTATATCTTGGGTTTCTCATATAAGAGAAATGATCCAATATTTAAGCTTGTGTGTCTGATTTCTCTTAATAAAGTATTTGTACTCCTAATGCCTAGTGTGAAGAGGAGGTGGGACAGGATGGGTTACAGGTGAGTTTAGGTAGAGCCCTTAAAAAACAGATGACTGGAGAGACAGGGGGAAAACCACTGATATTAACACTCTTTTCAAGGAGGTAACTTTTCTGAATGACATGGATATCCCTAAAAAGAATTTCCGCTGTGCTTTTGGTTTTCCTTGTCCCTTTTTCTAGATCTCCATTGCTTTTGACTCCGTTTTTTTAGACTTCCAATTCTAACCTGTGTCTCACACCTCTTGGCATTGGTTGTCCAGGTGTTTAGGTTCTTTTTAAACACACTGGCCCTTCTTTATACGTCCTTTTTTGGTAACAGGGACTGAACTTGGGTTCTTGCGCTTGCGCAGCAGACAGCAAAACCACTGAGCTAAATCCCCAGCCCTATACTTCCTTTTGCTTTCCATCCATGACAGTCTGCCCTCCAACCAGAGCAAACTAACACAAGTGGTTAGGAGGGAAATCCTGACACATTCACAGTTAAGGACAAGCCAAGCAATGCTGTGTTACCAACACAGGCTTCAGGGTGAATCTTCTGCAGCAAGATTCTTGGCAACAGTGCAGGTGACACTACGGCATCCTGCATCTTTCCTCCTCTCATGTTCTTTGAACCAAATTCATTTCGCCTCTGATCTTTGAATAGAAATTTGGCTTTTTTTCCTGGCAAGATCATAAGAAAATAGTGAGGTTTACAACAAATTTCAGTTTGGTGTGGAGTGAATGCAGTGCCTGATTTGGGTAGAATCAATGGCTTGGGAGTTGGATAAAGGTGAGTCCAAATGCCAGCGACATCTTGGAAAACACAGCTTATGGATAGCTGGCCCCAAAACCTGAGACACAGTAATGATAATGTGATTCATGGTGAAGGTAGCCTTGCCCAGCCCTTCACGCACAGGCTTCACTTAGCCCTCACAAGGACATTATGAGGCAGTTTACAGTTACAGAAAAGCAAGCTGAGGGTCAGATCCAGCATGATTAAGAAATGCAGGTGAGTTTCTTCCCAGGTGATGCAGCTCCGCTCAGTATATTGTCACCTTTTTTTTTTGTACCGGGGCTCGAACTCAGGACCTTGTGGTTGTGAGGCAGACACTGTGCCACTGAGCTAAATCCCCAGCCCTATTACTATACTCTTAACAGATACACTTCTAGGATTAAGACCTTGCAATTTGAGCTGTATAATGAGAGCTCTTATGTCCCCTGATGGATTGTGATCTGATTAAAGTGCTTGCATCTCCTTCAGCTTTCTCACCCCTACTTCTCTGGGCCCAAATGACGTGCATAGTTTATAGGCTCAGAAAATATCAACCAATTGACATGAAAGGGCTTTTGGGGAGCCCAAAGCTTTGTCTTCTCAGAAACTGGCCACTCTCCCATTCCACCAATTTTTTAAAAAAAATTATCTTAAATAGGAATGCCTATTATAAAAGTAAATATAGAAAATTCAAAAACTATAAAGATGGGAGGCAAAAAATTCTGAGGCTACCATCCAAAGGTATCATTTTGCTTGATTTTCTTCCACTCTCTCTATGCCCATATTTATGCTCTTGTTCTTGATCTAAAAGACTACTCCTTATAAATGTTTTTTATAATAAAATCACATGTTTGTACATTGGAAATATGAAAAATAAGAAATAATACTCCTTACATATAACAACCAAGAATTAATTGCTAACATTTTGGCATATTTTGACTTAAATTCTGCACATTCCATTCTGAGGAACTGTAACTGCAGAAAGGATCTGCTCAGTTGTTTCAATCTAATATCGGGTGTAGAAAAGATAGATTTGTGATTTGTTGTACTGGCTGCATGAACCCAAAATCATTTAACCAGCTCCAAGCTGTTGAGCCTGCAGTTTGTTTCCAATTCATCACATTTCTAAATACCAGTGGAAAAAACTGGCTGTCGCCACTGCCAAGATTCTCTGGTCATTGGATCAGGAGTCAAGGTCACTGGAGCAGCCCTGGGGATGATCTCAAGACTCTGAAATCTGAGTTTCTTCTACCTTCCATGCTGTGCCACCCATGCACCTGAGAGTATCCAATGGATGTGATTCATTGTGGGAGGTTTCTGGCAAAGAAATGACTTTGTAGACTCTGCTAAGGACTCTTCCACTGATTTCTCCTGTGGACAGATACACTGGGAAAGAAGGCAAAGAAGCAGAAAAGGAGATTTAAAAACTGACTTCTGCACATGCAAAACATTCCAGCATTTCAGAGAAAGCAAAAAAAAAGAACAGTCAATAAAAAGTAATGCTCTCTCTCTCTCTCTTACACACAACTGATTCCTTATTCCCTTTCCAAAAGCAGTTTCTTATGTATTCTAATAGAATGATATAATTTCCCCTTTGTCTATCTACCTACACAGCCCCCTCTCTATCCACCTCCCTATTCACTTGTCCAGCGTTTTCCTATATATAGCTAGCTATTTATCCATCCATCTATCCATCCATGCACCTTCCATCCTTCCTTCCATCCATAAAAAATAAAACCAGCGATCTTTAAATGAATAGCTATCAAAGATATAGCAGTTCAGAGAGTGACTTCAGAGGTAGGATCTTGAGTCCCCAGCCCAGCTACCAACCTACTTTGTAGCTTTTGCCAAGATGCCTTGCTGTTCTATGCCTCATTTTCTTCCTATGTAAAACAAGGCCCATTATACCTGTGAATGTACCCGGAAGAATGGAGACAGGGAGACCCTCACTCCCAGGCTAGTCTGCTGTGGAGAAAAGTATGAGCATGCTTCCCAGCACAATGAGAGCAGCAGGAAAAACAGCCAGGGGAATTAAGGTGGGTGAGGTGAATCCAGTCACCATGAGCACTATTGGGTCATGAAAGGAACAGAATGATCTTGCATAAACATTACCTCACGTGTTTTGTGGAACATAAAGTGTTTGGTAAACTGTTGGAAGACCTGCCCCACCAGGGAGAGCGTTCCATGTGACCATTACCAGGGTGGCAGCTCCCTGCTGGGACTGGCTGTAGGGACCTCCAGCTGGGCTTGCCCAAAATACAGGAACCCACAAGTGGAGCTGGCTCTATTTAATGTAAATAAAGGCAAATGCTATCAGGGTTGAAGGACAAAGAAATCACACTGGGAGAAGAACCATGGCCTCCTCAGGTCAAGAGACAGTGTCTGTGAGCACCTAGTAACCCAATCATTCACCATTTGGGGTTCAGCCCCATCATATGACATTACCTCACTCTGCAGGTACCCTCTGGCATTGAGGTTTGCATCTAAACATGACCTGCATGGAGCAACCCCATGGTGTGCATTTGCATAAAATACCACAGTCAGGGTGTCCCAAATTTGTGAAGTAGGAGTATGTGCTATGAACCCTAAGAAGTGGCCACCATTCACTTGCAAAGCACAGCCACAAGTTCCCCTGCTCTCCACAATTTACCTTCCTCTCAAAAGCAGCAGGACTCAGGGGCACCTTTCCTTATCCAGCAAATCCTTCCTCCAGCCCTAGACCCTCCTGTGGGACAGGGAGAGCAGCAGCACAAGAACCTTCCACCCCACCCAGCTGGTGCTCCCCTTCCTAGGGAGCAGCAACGATCCACATGTACAGCTTAGCTCAAAACATGAATGTCATTATCAACTCTCAGGGCCGCCTAGGCCGAGAAAATGGACCAGGCTTTCTGTCCCAATTAAGGTTTCTGCTACATTGACAAATGAGGAAATCCTAATATAGACTTTTAGAAATTGTAGTAGGACTTCAAATCTTTTCATTTACTGATTAACACAACACAGAACCACCCAAACGCACTGACTCTGTGTATCGCCCAAAGTTGATATTTAAAGTCTGAGATGGAGGGCCGGGGATTTAGCTCAGTGGTTCCGCCACCTGGCCAACAAGTGTAAAGAGCCACATTCGATCCCTGGGAAAGAAAGGAAGAAAGGACAGGACAGGACAGGACAGGGCAGGACAGGACAGGGCAGGACAGGACAGGGCAGGCCAGGACAGGCCAGGACAGGACAGGACAGGACAGGACAGGACAGGACAGGACAGGACAGGACAGGACAGGGCAGGGCAGGGCAGGGCAGGACAGGACAGGACAGGACAGGACAGGGCAGGACAGGAAAGAAAGGAAGGAAGGAAGAAAGAAAAGAAAGAAAGAAAGAAAAGAAAGAAAGAAAAGAAAGAAAGGAAGAAAGAAAAAATCTGAGTTGGAAGGCTTCATGAATAACAGGCTCAGGCCAAATTTCTCTCCATCCCTACCCTGTCATCCAAATGTGAGCGCTTACCTCAGTAAGGGATGATGTCCTTCCTCATCCATAGGAGCATGCAAGTAGAGTTAATGCCATTGAGGAGCACAGACCTGAGGCTGTTTGGGGAATATAAATGGCAGGACCTTTTGGGCACCAAAGGCACAATTAGTTGTCAGTCTAGGTGTAGAGAGGACCAGCCTTTGTGCTGACCCTGCTGTGGGTGGAAGCCATCTGGGAGGCACCTGGCCTAGACAGTATCTCTGGCAGAGTACAATGTTGATAAGAGTGAACTGAAAACCCAATCTGGGATCACAGGCTATATTTCCCTTTGCCCAAAAAGCGATTGCTTCTCTGACCCTCAATTTCTTCATCTGCAAAATGGGAGTAACAACCCCTGACCTATGGTGCTTGGGTGAAAACTCAATGAGAGCCCAATTCAGGGCCAGCATAGAGTTGGCATCCATATTCTGCATAAGAATCATGAGGCAGCCCTGAACAATTAAGGACTCAAAGAGGAAGCAGCTGATGTTTGGCTGCAGGTGCCTATACATCCCTTCACCCTTCTGAAAATGATCCCCAAGTGGTTTGTGCAAAGAAACTGAAAGTGTAAGTTAAACAATAGATATAGGAAGGAGCTCTCTGTTTTTCTCTTCCCCCTCTAATTCCACAGCTCTGGAATTAAAACCCAACAGCCTCTTCCACTCTCAACTCAAATGCCAGGTCTTACTCTGCCAGGATTAGATACACAGGCGTGAGGCCTACAGGATGGGGTCATTGGCATGCTCCCAGGTCCTGGGTTATTTAAAAATTCTGTTAATTTGAGAAGTCTCTGTCACTGCCTCCATCAGTATCAGGCCCATCCATGTTTGGCTTTTGCATTCTGTGCTTCCTAATTCCATTCCTGGGGCTTAATTATGATTATACAGCTTTATTACATAGAGTTGATTTTAAGTAATGGTCCTAATTAAGAGTGAATTTTAATTAAGCTTAATTCAGAGCCTGCCTCCGATTGCCAAAGATTTGTAGCCTGAGATGAGGAAAGGCTGCCTGTGCACAAAACTCACACGTGACTTTGATCTTCACGCTGCTGAGCTGTCTAAGCCAGATGGGCTTACTTGATTTTCTGGCCTCAGGAGCACATTTCTTCAGCAGGTTGCAGGGGGTAAAGTATATTCCACCTCCCTCTCCTCTCAGAGGCAAACCTAGAGCCCTGGCAATAAGAAAACAGAAGTCAATTGGCCTGGAGGTAGGGAGTCTGCAGTTTAGGAGTATCAACCACACCCTCTCTCAGGAATTGAAGCTTCCTGACTCAGGAATTGAGCTGCTGTCCTGCCCTGCTCACAAGATCCGCTTTACAAATGCACAAACAGAAACTCAAGGTGGCTGAGGCACATAGCTAGGAAGAGCGGAAGATTAAAAATCAGCTCTGACACCCATGGTTATGCCGCATTAAAACACAGCCTTCCAATAAATGGCAATCATCTATGAGTACAAGAGAAACCAATGTCCTTCAATTTCCTGCCTAAACTGATGCTTCTCAAACTCTGGCTGTTTATATGCTGTGCTGGTGAGTTTTGCCACATATGCATCCATGCACACCATCAAGTGGGGGGAAAAACTAAACTGATTTGTTTTCAAAAGAAATTTTCATCCTACTTTGAAAACTGCTATAAATTAGGGTCACTGTACAAAATTTTTTTTTAAAGAAATAAAACCATTACAACCAAATCAGAAAATGTTACTTTCTAAAGTCGAAGATTAAAGTCTAATCTGTCTTTATTTCAAAAACAGATATGAGAAAAAGGTTAAAGACACAAAAGCATAAAGCACACTTTGTCATTAATATGCTCAAAAAGATTAGAGGTGGAATGATAATCACTATGGGATTCACTGTTATTTAAAGTCCCACCCAAATGCCACTTTCGTGTGTCTGACACTTACAGAGCTAGGCCAAGCCAGTGTGGTCTGTGTTTTCAGGCCTTGCCTTTGAGTACTCCTGCTGCTCTGGTGTAGTACAATGACACAATTCTGGACAGAAATCCAGCTCCTGCCCCCCACCAGCCCAAGGACGAGGTGTGGACATTCCACTGGTGTTTCAAGTGAAAACACAGTGAAATCAATATGTTCTGTAAAGTTGGCTGGTGGAATCTCTTCATCAGCAGAGGACGGCGGCTCTGACCACCCCTGTCCTGAATGTCATTGCCACACTCCTCTGCTTCATACTGACCTTCCCACCATAGAAAATCATCCACTGAGAAGCCAAGCTCTAAAAACATTGACTTTTCTGGGGGGAAGTAGAAAGTGAAAAATAGAATTCAATTGCCTTGAAAATAAAACGGGTAATTTCATGCACTAATGCTATATTTAATGTTGAATTTGCAAGCGCAAGGTCCCAAGTTTGATCCCCAGTACCAAAAAAAAAAAAAAAAGTTGAATTTGACAACAAGCATTTAAGCCAGGCATGGTGGTGCATCTATGTAATCCCAGCACTTGGGGGGCTGAGGCAAGAGGATAGGCCAGCCTGAACTATATAGCGAGATCTTCTCTCAAAAAGTGCCCCTAAAAAAGAAAAGAAAGGAAGGATTTGAATAACACTTTGGCTAAGTTAAAAGTAAAGAAAAAAAAAAAAAAACGATATCATGTATTAATCACTTTCCACGTACCCCTGTGAATGACTATTCCTTAGACTTGAAAAGGATAAATGGGCTTAAAACACAGTAAACAAGCATTTTATCACTTTAATAATCCAAGCCACAGAACTTTTCCTTTAAACAATGAGTATTTAGAAGGCAAATTTGCTTAGCCTAACCTAGTGGCACAGAAGCCACTACATCTGAGCTTTCTCCCCAACAGCTGGAATAGGGACTTCCTGCTCTTTCCCTACAGATTCAAGGAAGAAATTACTGTCAAACCCTTCAGTTGAGCCAAAGACTCTCAGAAGTACCTGCTCAGTACACTGTCACTCATACACCTAGGAAATGTCACTGGAAGAGCAAAGACAAAACTGATTAAAATAGAAAATGTTACAAAAACAAATTTATGCCAAAAAGTATAACAGACCTAATCATCCCATTATAATCATTTTTTATACTTTTATATAAAGCATTCTTTATATTTTTATTCTTGCTAGGTCAAGGCAAGCTGTCCAGGTGGTTTTGTGACCACCACTGATGGCTTCCCAAGGCAAACCTTGTATATTTTCTTCTGCCATCAACAACTACAGCCATATTTGCTTAGAGATTGGATCCCTATTCCACAAGTTATCAGTTGTGGAACTTCAGGCCTCAGTTTCCGCATCTGTAAAATAAGGGTAACAGTAGCACCTACCTTGAAGGACTGTTGTGAGGATTAAATGAGATGGTGCTTAGCACAGTGAGTGGCACATAGAAGTCTTCAGTTGACAGTCAATGGTTAACATCAATTTTGGATCAAGCTTGCACCGTGATGTATCTCAGCAGTTCCTGACTTGTGTGTTGGAAAGGATGCTCCCATACTGAAAAGTATTCAGCAGACTCACAGAAAGTGGTAGGAGACTCAACTCTGCTGCAAGTCTTAGATGCTTTTGTGCCCACATTTTAGTTTTCTGTCCTTCACATGGTCCCAAAAACAGCTTTGGCCAGAGCTACAGCAGGTGCTGATCAGTCTCCTGAGAACCTGGCTGATCAAGATGGGCTGCATGTGGCACAATGGAAGAAGCATGTGGTCATACCAGCTCCTTCTTGGAAGTCCATTTGGACTGTGGATCCAAAGAGAATCCCTCCAGGTTTCATATGCATGTGCCCAAACCTGCATGCACATACGCATTTCTTCCTTTCTGTGTATTCCCCCTTCATATCTGGGAAAAACCCAATTCCTACAGGTAGCATCTTGTACACATAGCTGTCCAGCCCTATGTGAAATTTAATGTGCCTCATACTGGGGATTTATACCAAGCAATAAAATCCACAGAAAGAGAAATGCAAATAGATTGTAGAATATAATATTATCATTGTCAACATAAAAGACTCTTATTTACTGCCCCTCAAAAGAAAATACACTATAGTGTCATTTGTTTCAGGGAACGCAAAAAAGGTTTCAACAACTAACAGGGTATGTTTCTGAGCAAAATATGCTTGGTATATGATGTTGGAAAACACACTGTCAGTGGCCACTTGTGTGTCTGTGTTCTTGCAAACAAACCCAAGGAATCAAATAATAGAAGGTCATTTCTAGCCTGCCTTTCTGAGCCACAGGTCACCTCCCTGACTCTGTCCACAAATGAACCAAACAATATAGATTTATTCAGAAGGAGAGGACTTCTGAGGCAAACCATACGGGATGAGCCTGTCTTAGGACAAGGTGTCTGTGCAGCTGTAGGCTTGGCTTCCAGAGGAAATATGGTAGATGTTGAGTACATGGATGGCTCATGCTGCTGTGGGTAACAAGAGGCTGGAAAAATGTAGCCGAGCAAAAGTGGATGAAGATGACTCCCATTGTGTCTTAGGATCTAGCTTTACACCACTATGCCTCCTCCCCAAATGCTAAAGGTCATTCATCAATTTTATTCTTACCCAGGACACTGACAACCTAGGAGGTCACAACTTTTGTGGCTTTGGTTGACTGATAAATCTGTTCTTTTGTTTAGGCCATTGGGGGTCATAGTAGACCCAGTCACAGAAGTCATTTTTTTTGTGTAGGTGGGCAGGATCTAAATTTATAGGACTTTAAACAGCAATAATTACCTAAGTGTAAAAATATATATATTTCTTGGAGTGATTTGTTCTAGAACCCCTGTGGATACCAAAACCCATGGATGCTCAAATCCCTTAAATAAAATGGCATAATAATTTGCATATAACCTACACACATCATCTTTAGATGATTGCAATGTTGATGCTCCAGAAATAGATGTTGTATTGTATTCTTTTTTCTTTTTTTCCTTTTTTGCTCTTTTTTCTTTTTTTCTGTTGTATTGTATTCTTTACGGAATATGACAAGAAAAACATCAATATGTGTTCAGTACAGATGCAAAGTTTTTTCAAATATTTTTCATTTGTTCCAGACTGAATCCTCAGATATGAAAGCAAAAGATATGGAGGGCTGACTGTATTATTATAATCAATTTGCAGATGAGAAAACAGAGGGTTGAGGGAAGAGATGTGCATTATCAACAGTCAGGCAGCCTGACTGTCAGAGCAAGAGTTGAGATTTACACTCAGGTCTCACTCTATCCAGAGCCTCCAACCAGACCCCCAACAAGCTGGAAGTGGCAACTTGTGAGACCTGTCCTGGGTGCTCTGTTTGGGCATAGTATTCGGTCCTCACAGGCGAGGTAGGTACTACTGCTCCCACTTTACAGATGAGGGAAATGATGTTCAAGAGAGGAAAAGTATTTGTCCAAGTCATACAGATCTCCTGTAGCTTTGTAGGAATCAGAACGCCAATCCTTGGCTCCAGACGCTGGATAGTATAAAATGAGAGCCCGACGATGTCATGGCAATGTCTTTTCTATACCACCACATCCCAGGTCATTCCTTCACTTGGGTGAGGTTCATGACTTTGAGTAAACAAATTAATAACCTCATTTTACATCCACAAATTTCTTTTTTCTCCTTGTAGCCCTTTTGGACAAGGAATGTCCCTATATTGAAGAAGATGGCTCAGAAAGGAGCTCTTGACAATCTCCAGGGTTACTGCATCCACGGGGAACTGGAGGAGTCATGACAACAGGTTGTAGTCAAGGAAGGAAAAGAGGAAATGTCAGCCCAGAGAGAAGGCTGGTTTTCCTGCTCCCTGGGATCAAATGCCATAATCTTGTTAACTTAGTCCTAACTCAGCCACTAAAAAGATCCTGTTGAGTTCTCAAAATGCCCTCGATGCCGTGATAGGGTCCAAAGCATTAAAGTCTCCATCCATTTGCCTTTACTGGATCTCACCATCACAGAGGAAACAGAGTAGGAGAGGATTCACTTGCAGAGGCAACAAATACTGGTAACCAATGAAAATGATGACCACCTACCATAGGTTAGGCATACAGTGGAGAGGATTAAAAGTGATGTCCCCGATATCTGTGGCTTGCAGAGAGTGGGGAAAACAGACAAGAAACAGGTGAACTAATAAGCCAGGCCAGCCAGCAGTAGATCATGCTAAGAAGACCAAAAAACAGAGAAATTACAGAGGAGAGGGTGGCAAAAGTTAGGTTCAGAGCCCAGGAAGACATTCCTGAGGAGGTGACACTGAACTGAGACTTGGCTCTGAGATGATCTGGGCACACGTTGCAGGAAAAAGGTCCCAACAGAGAGCTGTTCTGGGCAGTCACACATATCAGTTTCCATGATGCCATGAAGGTCACATGGATCCCTAGACTCTAATTTTGATCAACAATGAATCACAGCCACCTCAGGAGTATAAGGACTCCACACCCAAAACCACCACCACACCTGCCACACCCACAAAGGCAGTTTGTTTGACCAACAGAGAAAAGATTATTCCAAAATATACTTGGTGCACAACATCCACAGGGAGGATGAGGTTTCCCGGTTTCTGCTGTAAACAGCTATCTTCTTTGCTATCTAGTATTTCTCACAAGATCGCACCTGCTGCAAGAGTTTTGGCCCTGTCATTGTATCTAGTAAGTCTGTATTTCCCTTTGGAGAATTCTGCAGGTGAGAGGTACTGCTGGGGAAATGGAAGCTTCATTGCTAAAAGGCCAGTCAGCATTTGTAAGAGGAAAGAGAACCAGAGCTGACTGCATACTTTCATAAAAATTTAAATGCTTTACCTGTGTAGTTTCCTTCAATCCCAGGAGAAAGGACTGAAAAGTCCCACTCTTGCTACCCAGGACACTGGCTCTCTGAGAGGAAAAGCAGCTTCCTCAGCATCACCCAAGTTGACAGAGGCAAAACTAATTACATCACTGTAATTATTAACTCACTAGTAATTACATTAATCAAATGTGGTGATCACTTACTAGGTTCCAGGCATTGTGTTAGAATCCTTAGGGCTGTGCATGATTTTGCTGAACTATCAACATATTTTATAACTATTCTCATCTGTTGCTATTTCTACCTTATTTTATTACTGTTCCCACTTAGCAGATGAGAAGACTGAGTTTCAGAGAGGTAAAATATCTTGCTTTGGTCCCAGTGGTAAAGCCGGGATTCAAACTGAGGTGAGTCTGGTGCCTCCTTTTTTCAGAAAGTGACTGACATCAAGAGAAAGAAAGGTGGAGATGCTCCATATTAAAGGAGAGTGAGGAGACAGGATGACTATATGCAAAGCCTGTTTCTAAACTTGAAACTACTGAAAGGAGAATACTGCCAAGGATGTCTTGCAGTCAAGTGATAAAATTAGAATGTGGCCAGATTAGATAAAATAGTCATGTCAATTTTGAATTTATGCAGTAGGTAAGTCTACTGCCATTGTGTTAAAAGAATGTCTTCATCCTTAGGAAATTTACAGTGAAGTGTTTAGGGGTTAAAAAACCATGTTAGATGCAAATTCTTTGTATGGATCATGAAAAAAGCATGTGTGTGCACATGTGTGTGCACATGTGTGTGCACAAAGATCATGCTAGTTGCAGTGGTGCACACCTGTAATCCCAGCACTTTGGGAGGCTGACACAGGAGGATCACAAGTTCAAGTCCCAGCTGGGCAACTTAGTGAGCCTGTCTCAAAATCAAAAAGGTTGAGATGTAGATCAGTTTGAAGGCTCTAGTTTCAACATCTGGTTCTACAAAAAGGGAACAAGCAAATAAGATAAAATGTTAATAGTAGGCTAATATAATTGGTTTGCTTATTTTTCTGTAAGCTTGAAATTATTTCCAAAAAATATTTTAAAGATAGGAAGAAATAGAGGAATGATAGGTGTCATATAATAAGCTTATGGACATTTCCTGAGTCCTAATTCTTGGGAGGAATTAATTCTTTCCCTCTCTCTGAAATTCTCTCATTTCTAATTCACGCCTTCAGCTTCACATGTTTTAAAATGTATATAGTACCCCTGACAGTGATTCATCATTCAGCTCTTAAACAGAATGAGCTTGCAATGTTAACTATGGTCTCAGTGAATTTGCCTAATGTGGAAACAACAATTGTGGTCTGAAGAGTGTCAAGCATAAGGCACCCTTGAAAGAGCTACAAGGTGGGCAAACAGCATAGCACAGAAATGGTGGGCACTGAAAAATGTCAAGAAGAGTTGCCAAGCAAAGGAAGACAGAAAGAGAAAAAGACAAAACACACTTTTATTAACAACTTTCACCTGGCAACTCACAAAAGGTGTGATCAAACATCCCTGTAATGAGCACGAACCCACATCTTTTTCTCTGGAAAGTAAATACACAGTCAAAAAAATGAATAGCAAATGTTGTTCTAATGATTACTAAACCAGAATCACTCTGTACTTGTCTTTTGGGTTTAATTCTGACACTTATAGAAAAACAAATAAAACAGAGGAATAATGTTATACTGTACCTCTATAGTAGGAAAAAATGGAAATAAGGATATCTAATATTGATGTTCTTACATGTAAAGAAACAGACCAAAAGCTTTCACTTTTACTAATTACCAAAGAAGTGGGACAAAATGAATAATAATTTTGTGTAAATGAATTAACAAAAGTCAAAGACAATGGTAATTCATAGCACTGTGGAGATTCAAGCTTTCAGAGCTTATGGCAAATAAACAAAAAGCTTCTCAAAAGTTTGTTTTAGGAACTATATGTTGTTTTAAGAACTATAAAGATGATCATAGTCCTTGCCCAATAAGGATGCTTTCCAGAATTTGCTACATTAACCCAAAAGAATAAAACAGTTAAACACACAAAAATGTGCACATTACTGTTATTTAATTATTCTTTAAAAATCTGGAAAATAAAATATCCAAAAATAAGAAAAAACTCAAAATATGACAAAAACAGTTGATGAAAT